TACATGGGGATAGGCCTGTTTCCATTTGGCCACAGTGATATCTTAGTTAAATCCTTTCTTACTGTATAAGGATTATTAGCTCATTAGGAGGTAACCATCCAAATCCTTCTGGGAGAGTCCTGTTTCTGATCTTCTAAAGTACTTTTTGACCTGTATAAGTCACAGGTGCCAGACCAGCTCCCAAACACAGAGGTGCAATGATGCCCATGAGGTGGCACAGAGTAACTTTGCACTGGAGGACATGATGTCTAAAAAAGACAGTATTTTTTTGAAACATCAGTGTAGCTGAGAGTGAGTCAGGACACCTGAGTCATCTTGTTGGCCTTCCCTTTACAACGTTTTAATAATTTCATATAAGTGCATTTGTCTGTGCTGTGTTTGATTTTCCTCATCAAAACCAATGTCTGTGTGTTGTAAAATAGAAAAGGTTTATAGCATCCTCTTATCACACAGCACGTCTCAGGACACCTCAATCAAAATACACAAATTGTTTTCAGGTGCTGAAAAGGTCTCTGGCAGTTTGTAACAGGAAAAAAAGGGCAGGAGTGCCAATTATGCAGTTTCTCTGCCTTGTACTTGGCATCACTGGCATGACTGCGTTGGAGTACAGGCAATGTGAAGCACCATGAAGGACTTGTCACCTTTCAGGGCTGAAGGGAAGGGAGAAAGAACTGGGTTTTCTCACACTGCAGAGCTTTTCTCAGGATGATAGTGATCCCCTTGGTCTCTTTGGAGAGGTTCAGTGTGTTTCTGAGGCTCCCACCCCGATGACAGCAGTATACTGCAAGTTGCTACTAGATGTGACCTTGCTCGGCTAGCTGGTGGAAAAAGGCATATTTTCCGAATATTCCTATCTTGCAAAACATACAAGGTCTTAGAAGCTTGAAAAGAGATTAGCTGAAGCAGAACCTTAAATCCTGAAGCCCTGGAAAAAAGGCTCACTAAAGCATTTGGATCAGTGGTGAATGGGGACATCTTTTACTGTTTAAGACAGAAAGGACAATGAAGGTGAGAGAGCAGCCAGGAGGGAGGAGCAGAAAGTATATATCCTTAATTTATAATACAAGTCAGAAAAAAAATCAACAAGAAGAAAATTTTTATTTATCCTACATCCCCACTCAGCATTTTTGGAAGTCTGATTTGAAGGGCTGAGATTGTACTGTTTTGAGCGCTGTTGCTGGCTACCTATCCTCACAAAATTTGAAGAAACAAAGTAAAATCCTACTTAAGTGGATGTCAGGGGTGCTTTTGTGACCTAAATCCCCAGAGCCAGGATTTTGCTCAATGAATGAGCCCAAAGAGCCTAGAATAGTGGATAACCTAACAGCAAGCTTTTCCTCTTAATTATCTCTTTCTCTGCTTGAAATTTCAGGGCCAATTCTGAAGGTTGTTTGAACAACGTGGGCACCACCCCAGGTGAACAGGCCCTGAGCTTTACCAGTTCATTTCTCAGAAAGCTTTCAGGGATGGTTAGATGGGGAAAAGTATTATACTGGTTTCTTGAGGCAGGACTAAGTGATGCAGTAACAGAATGAATGAAGGAGTCAGTGGTTAAATAGTCAGAGTTGGGAGGCTGAGCCTTGCAATCATCTTATATCAGAGACTAACAGATGCCAGCTTTATCAGGAAATGAGCTATCTGAGCTGAAAGGCAAGTGTCCCGGGATACAGTGAGGCCCCTGTTGTTCCCTTGGATGACGCTGCCCACAGAAACAGGTGTGCTGCAATCACAGGCAGCTAAATGGGATCAGGAAGACACTGGACTATGCAGAAAGATAGCACAGTATTTATAGTGAACTGGTGAGTGCAAAATCCAAGATTTCACAGAAAAATCTGTGAAATTTCTTTGTTCCCCTCATCATTCCCTCCCATGGGGAACTGCTGTTGCTCCTACCCCATGGGAGAAGATCTGACACAAAAAGAAACCTTATATCACTGTCTGGTAGAAAAGGACCTTCAATAAAACTCAGGTTGCCCAAATGCATGAGATCTGCACGCTGGACTTTTCTTGACTGTGAGCGTGCTCAAAAATTCCAAATTTAAAACGCTATCTGAGAGTTGATGGACAAGCTTTGAACTTCCAAGGAGATTTACTTCTGGGGCTGAGATGGGCACATTTCAGTGTGCTGCTATTGGCACACAGAGAGATGATGAAGATAAAGACACAACACTTAGGGCATTTGTCAGGTTGGGGGAGCATCTTCTTCGGTCCCAGCTCTACTGTTCCCCCGGGAATAAAACAAAGTAGTGCTGTTCAGATTTAAGTATTTAACTGCTGTTCTGAACATCCCAAAACACGTGAATCCAAGATTTCAGACCTGTATCGGCAGGGCTGCAAGGAGAACACCGACTTTGGCTGAAGCTTACTGGAGTTAAGAATTTCAGGTGATTGAGGCAGTTGTTCAGATTTTGAGGAATTCATCCTTACTTCTGACTTGGTGAATTAGATGTCTTGAATTTCGTATTAAACGCAGTTAGAGCTAGAAGACCACAGAAAATGTCCACTAGATTTAGCCCTAGCAGTACCACCAAGTTCCTAAGCAGAGACACAAAGAGATGGTGGCCATGACACCCAGTGTCAGTCTGCTGGAGGAATTCCCTTTGACACAAAGCTGAAGCCTAACAACCACAGATTTTTGCTACTCCTGCCACAAGCAGATAAACTAGATGTATCTGGGGCTAATGAGGCAACAATTTTTGTGAATAGAAAGCATTTTTCTTCTCTAGAAAAGAGAGAAAATGAAGATTTGATTGTATCTATTTTTAGGCAAATTAAAAGGTGCCTCAAAAATAGCTTAAGCTATATGAAAGTGGAGCAATTCCTCAAGTTCTGCAAGAATAAAGGAGGTCAGGAACATCATAAGCCAATTTTTGAAGTAGCTGTGAATGTTTCATTTTTGCAGTCCTGTCTGATATGTGCCTGCTTTAAAACATATTGTGATGCCAGCAGAAGCCTGCTCCTGCACCTGCATGCATGGGGTCCTTCAAAGGCAACCAACCAGCCTAATGTATGCCTAGTCATCCCACAAATTTGGTTCCGTGTTTTACATCCTAAACATTCATCATAACCCTAGCCAGCCATTGCCACCCACTGTGACACAAGTCTTGTGTCTCCCACTAAAAGCAATCAGATTTATCAAGATTTGTCACATCTCCCTCTAAAAATGACTGCCTTGAAGGGTGCCTCTGCAGGAAGTGTATTTTGGAGGCTGTCTGCCTTTGGCTTTTACCCTGATTCCTCGGGTTTCATCATTAGTACTTTAAGTTGCCAGCAAACATTGAACTTCTGGAAAAGCATGAGCAAAACTAAAAGGAGGCTTTGGAAACAAGACAGATTTGAAAACTGTTGCCCACAGAGTTTCAGTTAGTATGTTGTGGGCTGTTCAGGTTGAAAGTGAAAGCTGAGGGGTATGTGTGCTCCTAAATCACCCAGGAGATGAGTATAATCTGCTCAGAGAAACATTCTAGTCACCATCCCTGAAGGTATTTAAAAGATGTGTAGATGTGATGCTTAGGGACATGGGTTAGTGGTGGACTTGGAAGTGTTGGGTTAATAGTTGATCTCAATCACCTTATTGGTCTTTTTCAGCCATTTGATTCTTTGATTCTGTAATAGCTAAGTAATGCTCACCTTTTGCCCCAAATATTGAAATAATCCCAGACATACAATTAAATGGGAACAGCTGCACCAAGAAGAGATGTCACCCCTTTCCCGGTGTGGATGGAGCAAGGCTGTGGTGGGGCAGCATGCAAGGAGGAGGCCCGATAAGGCCACTTGTCTGCACATCACTTTGGCAGGGGGAGGGAGCCATGCCCTCTATCAAGCTCTTCTCTGCCAGCCCCTCAGCATGCCTTCTCCAGCGGATCCACACCAGCCCCGGTGCTGGCCTGTGGCCAGCTGGCCTGCCTCCACCTGCCTGTCGCTGCCAGTCATGGGGCAGAGGTGACACCCTGGTCAGAGGAGGGGAATAGCTGAGAGGCTGTGCCACGGAACCGCTCTGCCCCAGCAGCCTTGTGCAGGTGAAACAGCAAAGCAGCAGCTGGTGTCAAGCTCCCAGGGAAGGGGGAACCGATCGCCATTCCCGGGACATGAAGAGGAAGGAATATGCAGAACAGCTTGCAATAGAAATGCAACAGGGTTGCGTGAAAAACCCACTCCAGTACAACAGAAAGGAAGGTTGGTGGTGATGGTGGCATCTGACCATCCTCTTGAGGAGAGCCCTGCCTCCTGTCCTGGATGTGCCTGGGCACACGCCTCCCACCCTTCATCCCCCTTAGTACAATTAGGTTTTAACCACTTGCCAGCAATGTGTGGGGCTTGGTGGCTGCTGTGGGCACGGGAGGTCGCAACACAAGCTTCCCTCTGCTTTGAGGGAAGGGGCAGATCCAAGGGGCAGCAATTCTCCTGCTGCCCTGGCAGCAGAGAATGTGCTTCAGAAAACAGCTTGAATGTCAGGCAGCAGCTATGGGGTGCCCCAGGCAGGAGGAGGAGGGAGTCCCAGGAGTGCTCACCTCCTTTGCTGCTGAGGAAACAGGACTTTTCCTCTAGTGGTGCAGATGAGGCTCTGAAACTGTTTAACCCGAGATCTGTTATCAAAAGCCTAATCACTGTGATGCCCAAAGGGATGCAAAGAGAGATACACTTATTAAACATTGCAGTAAATACCTTCTATTTTTGTCAAGCCCTAGTAGGACAAGTGTGTGCCTTGGTTCCCTGTATAAGTGAGGTCTGTCCCTTCACAAACCCTGCCTGCATATTCCCAGGACTGACATCTTCTACTCCCTCCCTCTTGCTCATTCCCTCACTCTCAGATGATGCAGAGTGCCAGCAAGTCCCTCAATGGTGTCATATCTGTCCTTTTTATTCATTGCAGGGTTTATTTTTAGCCTGAAACAACTGCTTCCTAAAAATGGAGTTCCTAATGACACGGGAGCTGGACACAGCTATGTAAGGTATCCAGGGCTTGGCCTCACAGCTTCTCCTGTCTGTCTCTCTCTTTGTTGTGAGTCCAGGACAGCAAAGTTTGCTGCTCCCCACCAGCCTTGCAGTGTTTGGGCTGATCACCAGGAAGGCAGCAGAAAGAGAAACTCAGTTCAAACTTCACCTGAAGCCTTGGTCTCCCCCTCTTCCCAAATCAAGAAAGAGAGGGGACATTTACCCACCCTTTGCTGCACTCCAAGGGCACCCCTATGAAGGCAACTTGCTGGATCCTGGCAGGTTTTTACCTGCTTTTCTGCTGCAAGGCAGAAGAGGGACTGAACTTCCCCACTTACGATGGGAAAGACCGAGTGATCGACCTGAACGAGAAGAACTACAAGCAGGCCCTGAAGAAGTATGACATGCTCTGCCTGCTCTTCCATGAGCCTGTGAGTTCTGACAAGGTCTCCCAAAAGCAGTTCCAGATGACAGAGATGGTTCTGGAGGTAAGTGCTGCTGCATGTCCCAGTCGGGATCGATATCACAGCTCTGGTCAGAGCCATGGAGAGGAACCACAGGACAGGACAGTCAAATAGTCTCATGCAGGGGAGGTTGAGCACCCAAAAGTTTGTGTTTGTTTACTTGGATTTGAGTTAGCTGCTGCCTGAATTCTGCAAAGCCCAGAAAAAAAAGCCTCTTTTGTGCTCTTCTTGGTTGTTTGCTGGGAAATAATCTTTCTGGATTGTGTGTCAGAAACCCAGGCAATAGCGAGTAACCTTGTGAACCTCAGCAACATGAACTCAGCTCAGCTGAGCTTTCTCAAATCTCAGCACAAACCTGGGTACATAGCTTGAAATTTTTTGATCCTTCCTTGTTCTGTGCAAGCCAGTATCCCACTTGTATTCTGGACTCGGTCCCACTTTTTATCCCACTAGGAGAAATCTGCCAAGAAGTCTTATCAAGCTGTGCAGCAAACAGGCGTCCTAGCTCCCCATCTCAAAATCTCCCCATTGGTGCAGCATTAAATCCCTTTTTATTTTTCCGACACTTAGTTGCCTGCTTGGAATCAGTCTATAGCTGCCTGTTAATGCAACCATTCACTTTTGTGCTAGAAAAAGAATGTTGTTAATTCTTTGGTGAAAGAATCCTCAGTAAAATAAATCATGGTAAAAATTACAATGTAGACTAGTAGCATTTTCCTTGTAGTGTAGCTGTAATTTAGGGAATCATACAGCTGCAAACCTGGATTGTTAGGTGCCTGTTTCCTACCAGGGGCCTGCAAATATTCCCTCTTAACTAAGACACATTTGGAAAGAAAGTATGAATTGCAGAAGAGACACTTAAGCTTCATTTATCAGACCCAGAGAGAAAATGTGTTGCATCCCTAGAAGTATAGCTAATGCAAATTAGAAAATGCGCTTGCTGAAGACTCAGACCCAAAAAAGTCCAGTGTCAAGTTCCAGATCTGCTGACCTCCTCAGCAAGCCTCATGACTGCCTGAAAGAAAGATTCAAAAACTAACAAGGTTTTAGTTACCTGTCAGTCAACAGTTACTTTCCGCAGGTGAATGATCAAATAACATTTGGCAGAGAAAGGAAAAAAATGATGCTAGAACTCCAGCCGAAATGAGTATTGTTGGTAGTGTAATCACATTGTTGTTTAATAGGGTAGCTATTTTGTGCTCGATAGGTGGCAAACTGTTACTAGGGACATATTTATAGAAACCTGACAGAAGCATGTCCCATCCCTGGAAGTATTCAAGCCAGGTTGAATGGGGTGCTTGGGAACCTGGTCTAGTGAAAGGTGTCCCTGTCTGTGGCAGGGAGGTTGGAAACAGATTAAGATACTTTCAAACTCAAACCATTCTGTTTCTATGATTCTGTGGTCTGTTGTCTACTACCAGTTTGAGTCCCCATGACACCTAAACTGGTGGTAGCAATCAGACCTATCAAGAGTGCGATGGATGCAATACAGTCTGGCTTAAAACTTTTGTTTTTCAGGATTGGATTCAGCAGTTGATAACATGAGCTTAGGACTCTCATGATTTATTTGTTTTCCGACTGCCTCTCTGCCATGGACTTCTTATGTGACCTTGGGCAAGAGACTGAGGATTACATACACAGGAGACTTTACACAATTGTAGTGCTTCAGTCCCCTAGTGCTCATCTACCAGCTAACTGTGCCACGCATCAGCTGGCACTTGTGGCTTTGACCTCAAAATTTCCCAAGCACTTGCAATGCTGATTCAGTGCATGTCTCACAGTTTCACACTCCCTCCCCTGGACTGGAAACTGCCACAGCAGCAGTCTGACAGCCCAAGTATAGAGCAATCTGCAGACTGAACATTTCCTTGCCTTTGTCAGCCAAGGGAATCAGATGGGGAGAGGGTCTCACAAGGCAACAGAGAAGATAGGATATGTCCTATCCTGCACAGGACGCAGCCCAGCATGGTGTTTGTGCTCCCAGTTTCTGTACTAACTCAATCATGGAAGCACTCAGGAAAGGAGTGGGCAAGCCAGGTTGTAATCTGCTCTTTCTTGTGACATCATTCAATCCCCTCACCGCAAACCACAATGTGCCACAGGGTTAATTTTCAATTTTCCCTGCCAGAGCTCATCCAGCTGTTGAACTTCATTGCATGTTCACCAGCGTAGGGAGAAGGAAAGAAATGGCTGCAGTGGCTCCTTGGTTATGTTCACCTGTGAGATGAGCTGCCTGGGATCAGTATCCCTGGAAGCAGTTTGCAACTGAACCCATCTCTCGTGTAATTTGAGCATATACTCGGAGTAGTGAGCTGCTCTGTGGGCACAGGAGCAGTGACAGGGCTCTTGTTCCAGCCAAACCTGGGAAAAGTTCACTCAGGAAGGCTTTACATATCTAATTTCAGTAGAGGGTTCAGGGCTTTGAGTGCTGAAGGTCCTTTACACCTAAAATGAAGTATTTAAGACATAAATACTCCAGCTCTGACTATTCCCTGACAGTTGGCTTGGAAGGCTCTCAGTGTAGGGCGCTGCCTATGGTAAGATGCTCCTTTCTGGAGCACCTTATGTTTTTCCATCTTACTGTACTGACGATTTTCCTGTTGTTTTACAATGAGACATGCTGCTTCCACAGCTTGGAAAACATCATGTCCTTAGTCCTGCTTTCATACAGTGGCACTGGTCTCCATCATTAGGAATAAATAGGAGCTTCCATCTGACACACAGGGAGGTGTGGAGCCAAGCAAAGGTCTGAGCTGGGTGGTTAAGGGTTGTTACATCATATTGCCTGATGTACATGTGTAGGTGGGCACACACAAGCAAATGGGCTTAATGAATGTTAAGTCCAGAAAACCCCCAAAGAGTTCACCCTTTCTGTTTCTCCCACCTGCACCTTATAAGAAATGAGTAATCCCAAAGAACAAAGACCTGAAGAATTATCTGAGACACCAAGAAAAGAGCAGGAGAGATGCAGCACGGTTTCCTTGAAATACGTAGCTCGTCAGTAACAAGATCTGACTGGGGCCTCTCCAGGAGTGAGGAGCATGTGAGGCTCTCTCTTAACTGGGTCCTTTGGTGTTTTATGGGGCTTGACCTCTTGTGGCAACATTTCCTTCTTTCAGGGCACTTCAGCCGCTTCTCTTCCAAGTCCCTGCTCTTCACAAAACTTGCAATAGCTTTATTACGTATGCGATCACTGTCTCTGGAAAATTTGGTTCAAAAGGGCCAATAGCCAATAAAGTTATTAGGGGAGGCAGCTGACAGACAGACCTCAGGGGAGAGACAAAAGAATCACAAGGCTCTCATATACTTAAGAAATAAAACTGAAAACGTGACAGCACATAAGTAAAGTTAAGCACTTATTTAAGGACTATAACTGTGAACAGCTGATTGAGAAGTGATATGATAGGAAATATTTCCTTTCCAAAACAAAAGACCAGCATGCAGGACTGACTGACACTGTCCAAAGCTCAGGGTCCACACTCACTATCACCAGAAAAGGGATGATGTCATCAGGCTGATATTACAGTTGGCACAGCACATGGGATTTTCAGTTCCCTGCACCCAGGTGCACTGGGAACCATCACCAGATTCCCACGCAGCCCAGGGTGCCTTTCTAAGTCGGAAACCATCATGGAGCAGTCCTGAGAGCTCTTGCCACCTACACTGCTGGGTGCAACCTGGTGAGGACAGGATCCAGGGACAGCTGAGCCCCCCGGGAGCAAAAGAAGCTGCTCTGTCATCCTTTGTGCATGACAACAGCTCCAGGGATAGTCCCTGAAGTCCCAGTGGGAAAGCTAAGGACTGTCAGATTAATCTATCAGAATAATAGCCAAAGCAATGATTGGAGATGCTTACTGTTTTCTGTCTAGGTTGGAAAAGGGTTGGAGAAGGATTGCTCTAAGACAACCCAGGGCAGAGAGATCATGAGCACAGGCTGTTTCATAGCTCAGGTTAAAGGACTCTTCTCCTTTACTTGCCGTTCTCCTATGACTCCACTCTGCTCCACAGGCTACTGGAGAGCACCTGCATCTTGAGTGGGGTAAATCCTCCATATAGGGCGGTGCAGAGGTTGAACCAGGCAGTCCCAGAGCAAACAGTACCTATTCCTAGTCTGTGGTGATTTTTACAATAGCTCTGCACACTTCATGAGGTGAGCACACTGAAGAAGCAGACAAAACAGCCAAGTAATCACAATAATTATTTACCAGGAAAGTAAGAGAAAAGCTACTTGTCCTCAAGGGTCTCAGTTTTAATGATGAAGGGTCAAGAGAGGAAAAGATCAAAGCAGTGAAGCTGAGAAATACCAGTTCTGCTTTCCTTCTCTGTATCTCCCCTAACATACTTCACCCTGTCTCATACCACCATTTCTCAGACCTTCTCCCTTCTCCTCATCTCTGAATCTCCTAAATAGGGAGTTTTGCCTTCCAGTGGGCCAGCCCGTCTCTAGGGAATCATGTAGCAAGAATAACAAGCAGTGGGGTTAGGGGCTTTCCTTTTGCACTTGTGAAGCTCTTTCCTCTGCTGAAACTTACTCAGTCTTGGCTCCACTGTCATTCTTCCCTTGCCATCTGTGTGCATGTGTAATATCCTTAAAAAAGAGAGGCTCATCAAGCACAGATATTTTAGTCTCTTCAGGGCAACAGTGACCCCCGACTGAAAGTTCATGGAGAACTGCCCTAGCAAAAACTAATCTGATCAGTGGTAAGAGAAGAGGTATGTGGCTACTAAAGAAGTAGCTTCCACTATAAGCTAATGCAAAAAATAAGGAAGGAAGGAAAAGAAAAAAGTGTGCACCGATTACTTTGCCCTTTGAAGCCATGTAAGTAGGTCTCAACACATCAACAGCCAGCACAACACTGATTTTTAGCAACAGCACCCATGAGGATTTCACTTACTGATATGCCAGTCACAAAAACAAGTTACAGAAAGCTCCCTGTTTCACAGATGGGCACACTGACATCTAGGGACAACTATGTTACTTGATCTTTCTGTATGGCAGTGGCAGAAATAATTTCCAAGGCTGC